TATGTTTTCTTGGAAATTTTTTTCCCAAAATGAATACAGAACATGACTTCACAAAGGTACATATACTTCAAAACATAACCTGGCTTTTCTATATAATAAAAAATTATAAGAATGCAATACATATTTACCTAATATAAGATTTTAGAAATTACAAAAAAAGTACTTCCCTTTCATATTTAGAACAAAATAATTTATGCGCACGCGTAAATCCAGGTTAACAGAATTTTGCAAACCTGTCTTATATTGTTTAAAAAAGAAATATGAAGAAGTAAACACGTGCGTTCTAGGCATTTTTGGAAAACATATGATGTCTATTCTGTATTATCATCTAAAACACGTGCTTTCTTAGTTTCGTACTTTGTCTAACCGCTAAAATAAAGGCATGTTGGACTATAATGCCTAGACAGTACGAGGAGTGATCAAGAAGTTCGCAAACTAATTGAATTCCTTGATTCCACTAAAAAAATAAAATTAGGTTTCAGTGTCATTATTTTATAAAGTAGTCCTTTCCAATTTTAATGCAACTCTGCTACCGTTCTGCCCATGCACGAATCAGGTGATCCAAGCGGTCACGTGACATGCTCCGTAGCATTTTGTTCACAGAAGCTAAAAGATTTTTTCGAGTCTTATATTTCTTACCACGCAAGTTATATTTTATAACAAGAACAGTCCGTTTGTCAGAAATTGCCAAATCTCGGCAGTGGGATGGGTGGATAAGTATATCTTTTCCCAGAATGAACATGGTAGCCATCACAATCCGACTCCTTTGTCTTCGGTGCGTCTTTTATCAAAAGATGTGGATAAAGTATGGACACTTTCTTTTTATCATATCTGATATATTTAAAATCCAGGGGAACCGATATTTCAGGGATATAATAATTATATTATTGTTTAGATATTTAACTATTTTTCTAACTGTAACTTGGCGATCATTCGTAACAAATTGCTCAACTAAGGACACATCTCTTCCCCAGCTTGCTTTCACTGGACAACAGAACATACATCATTTTTAACCATCTACCCTAACAAAAAAATACTATAGTTAACTATAGTTAACTACAGTTTACTATAGTTTACTATAGTTAACAATAGTTAATCAAAGAGTCAAAGTTATCACTATAGTAAATCAAAGTTTTCAAAGTGATCACTATAGTGTCATAGTGATCACTATAGTAAATCAAAGTTTTCAAAGTGATCACTATAGTGTCATAGTTATCACTATAGTGAATCAAAGTTTTCAAAGTTATCACTATAGTGAATCAAAGTTTTCACCATAGTATATCAACGTTTTCATAGTGATCACTATAGTAAATCAAAGTTTTCATAGTTATCACTATAGTAAATCAAAGTGTCAAAGTTATCACTAAAGTAAATCAAAGTGTCAAAGTTATCACTATAGTAAATCAAAGTTTTCATAGTGTCAAAGTTATCACTATAGTTAACTTTAGTTAACTATAGTAAACTATTGTTAACTATAGTATTTTTTGTTAGGGTACCTTCCTTCATTGAAACAACCAATCCAATCAATGATTGGACTTCTGGTAAGTCTTTTGTCTTCATAAACCTTGTTCAAATAATTATATTCTACTGCAAAGGGTTTTCCAAGGTATATGTCGCCGAAATATGGCTGAAATATTGCCGACTCGGCGTTAAACAATAATAATCAATCAATCAATCCAAGGTATATGTAAGACGTTGTTCGATTACGCCTGAGTCAACCATTTTTTTGTCACAAGTCATCTACATATTGACGTCATTTTCACATTGTGAACATGGAGCAAAACAGTAGATAACATCTGCTATTTATAGAACGTGTATGACTATGATGTGTGTCAAATTTAATTCTGATCTGAATTGTGGTTTTGTAAATATAAAAATAGTTCGCGAACTTTCTGATAACCACTCGTAGCTTCTGAAAAGTCAGTTATTTTTTTTTTAAACTTATAATAAAAGCAAAGCTCTTTCTTCACTACAAATTGGAATTGTGGGTGATGATTGGTTACTGATTTCTTAATGTCATTGTATCTTCCGTTTCAATATTGAAATTACTAATATATATATAAGTAAGCTGTCAAAAAAAAATTTTTAGGCTGCCCTCCCTCCATTCCTCTCCCCAAAGTCTGTCGAAAACGATGTTAGCTGCATGGGCAAAATAAAAAAAATTGCTAAGAAATCTACGTATGTGTATAATTATGCTGACACGATGATGTCTGTACATTTAGTTTGAATTGCAATTTGAGAAAAAAAAATCCATTTGAAATAAAATTCCCTTTTTGTTCCATGGATACAGTTAACAATTTGTTCAACTGATTTCACTCTGCAATATTGTTTCAGAAACCAGTTTGACCTGATCAAAACAATAAGATTTTAATGCTTCAAAAGAATTGGACGGTTACTGAGAAAAATGAGATTTACAATTTTTAAATAAATAAATATAGTAAAATGAAATTTACTGCTAAAATTAATGTTGTCATGTTTACTTTTAAAAACAGAAGTAAAAGTATTCAATTATTGTACAACAATGAATCTCTCACTGTTGTGAAGGACTTTCAGTTTCTTCGTATTATTTTTCTAGAAAGGATTCGTTTAAAGTCTATAGATCCCGTCTTGTTAAACAAGCTAGAAAAGCTTTGTTTTATGTACTGTATAAATAAATCACGAAACCTTTTTCTATCCATTCTCTAACAATTACTTTATGATATATCACCCATTTCACGGTAAGGTGTAAGGTTCTGTAGTATATATGGGGTTATGAAAATTATAGTACTATTAAATCATTATATACATGTACGTACGTATTATGAAAGTGAAAAAGTGCACTTCAAATTGTATAGAATAATTTTGAGTACATAATTTAAGGCAAAATTTGTTGGCATTTGAGAATGAATCCAGAAAGGTCAACAAGAGCGAACATTTTATGACATAAAAAATAGATTTGATGTTGCGGATGTTTATCACTCTAAATGGTTGATTTGTGTTTAAGATAATTAAATTACATTTGATTTTGATAATTACTGGGGGTCTCGTTCTGCTGATAGACTATTACTTATATTTTAAAGTATGAAGAAATATTATACACAACAATATGTTGATGAAAGAAAAAAAATCAAATATAAGAGGACTATTCATTGAATAATATGACTCTTTCAATACAGCAAGAAACAGTTTAGTATTCTTTTCTATGTTATTCACATCCCTCCCTTATTAATAATCCACCTTAACTTCAACACATCTATGAAGTCTTTTTAACCTTCACTGGAACGCACATACGTATTCCATAAGAGGTATACCCTTCTGACACTGATACACTGCTGAACTTAATGCAGAACGGGGATGAAAAGGGCGTCCAGAAAACATTTTTGATCAATTGAAAGCCTAAGAAGTCATGATATGGTTATAAATTGGTGAATAAAGAGGGTCATCAAGTTGCTGCATTCCATTTTCACGCTAGAAATGTGTATGTACGTTGCAGTGTGTGCTGTGGTATTATCGTGTAAAACTGCAATCCCCTCATTCCTGACATTGGTGTTCTGTTTTCGCAATGTTTTTGTATCTCAGACAATATTTCGTTTTTTTTTTTACTAAGCTAGCAATGGTAGATCGGTAACTTTGTTAAGTGAGCCATATTTTATTTCCCAATTTTCTCTCGGGGTTAGTAAACGTATTTAAGTTCCATCCCCTGTAACAATTACATGTAGACGATTTTAAATTTTCCGTAAATTTGTAATTTTTTTTTTTCTACAAATTTGCAACCACTTAAAAATGCCTCCCGAAGAAAAGTTCATATGTATGGCATTATGTTTCTTTTTCATTTTCCCGCCTCTGTCATTTTTTTTTTTACTCCTGCGACTGATTTCTCATTGATGACTGATTTGGGCCTCCCTGAGTGTTTTGTATTTTTCAAATGAATTTCTTCTAAGTTTGAAATATTTTTTCCATCGGTTAACGGTTTTGAAAGATACAACTTTGTTTCAAGATAATGACACAATTTCTTAGAAAATTCCCTTTCCCGTATTATTCATTAGAAAAATTTAAAGATAATTAATATATGGCTTTATTTTTAGTGGATCTCCTTTCAGTCTCCAATTTACCATTGTCCTGAGGGTGCATCGGTCCGGAAAAAATTGCTTTGTAAACAGTTTGTAACAAAAACTGTGTGGAAGACAATAAACATTTCAAGAAAGGTTCAAGTCAATCAAGTCAAATGTGTCATTATTTAATGAATAGTATGCACTTACATGTAATTCACCAGTGTTTAATTTCAGAGTTGATTAGACTGAATTTGGCTGTGCGTGTTTCCTGTTGATCTCATGTGTACATTTTGCAAATTTCATGTGGTAGTCATAGACTCTTAATTGTGACTGGTAGGTTTAATAGCAAAGAAAGATGTGGAAGAATTTTTAATCTCTACAACTTAGAAGAACTAAGCTACGAGTTTCATTCAGTTGTGATTACTCAAAATTTTACCCCATGATACACGCAAAAATAGAGATATTATTAGTTTTCAGATGTCATGAATAGTCAGGATAGACATAATTAGGCTAATTGGATTAAATGCTGCAAAATTGTTATGTCAATTTTTAAACAATATAATACACCTTTTATCTTCCAACACCTGTAAACTCTTGTACATATGTTTATGCTTATATTCCTGTTCAAAAATTTATTTATAATGTACTCTTATTCTTCAAACTAAAATAAAAGTTTATAAAGTTTCTCCAGCTAGAGTTCCTTACATCGTTATAACCGTCAAAAGACATGAGGCGTGTCACATCTTTTGACTTTAATTTAAAAAAATAATGAACGATAACTAGAGAAAAACTGGTAAGTAAGAGCACGTATTATGGCACTATTATCTCTTTGCAAAAAGTAAACTTCCTCGAAAATTATGTGCATTATTACTTCGTAGATCACGGCAACCAATCGAATACTTCGCAGATCATGGAAATCAATCAAATGCTCGCTAAGGGTTCTCCAATGTGAAAACAAAATTCACTGTGCTGAAACAGTGTCAATTGGAAAAATGTTTAATTATCCGTAGAGTAAATGAATAATAATTTATTTGTAACAGACTTGTAATTCTTTGTCACATATATTTAATTAAAGTAGAAGCTTACTAAAATATTTATGGTATTATTCATCACCCCACAGTGGCACTAAAATAATTCCCATAAAATGAATGAGGCTGACTTTAAATTGCTTTCTGATTTTTTTTTCCTGACACAATCGTATGTTTAAATGACTTAGGAAATCTGTTGTAGAAATATCCAGATCCCAGAAATATCTGAACAAAAGTGAAATCTACATCAGACGAGAAAGCTTTTTCAAGTCCTAACAGTTTCCTAGTCAGTACTTCATGTTGAATGTTTCACATAACTTTTTTTTTTATTTTTAAACGTATGGCCCGATTTTCCTACATAAAAAATCATATATAATGTTCAAACTATTTTATCTATTCTAAATAAAACCTTTTTAATGACATTGCCCCGAAGTTTTTAAACGCAAGAGCTCTTAAACCATAAAGGCTTGACCTGCTTTTATGACAATAGAACTTCAGAAGAAGGATATCTAAGATAAGTCCACCAAATTTAATTTATCTAGTACGCTATCGACAGAAGGTACCTAGGAAACATGTGCATCTTGATGAATGTCAAAAAATATTTTAGGATCAGTCTTAAAAAAGTCAACTTAAACTGATATTCTTTAATGTTACAGGGACAAACCTCAGAAACCAGGAAACCACTTCATTTCAAGTCATTTATAATGAAAAATCACATTATGTATTTTTAATAAAGATCAACCATGTAAACATCCCCTAGTGAACGTATGAATTATTTGCTGTGTCAATGTGACATAAATACCACTGATGACATACAGTTTTCAAATATTTGATTGATTGATTGTTGTTTTACATTTGTTTCCATTTCAAGAATTTTTCAATCAAATGAGACATCACCAAATACAGGTGAACAGCTTCAAATTTAGACCTTTTCTCTGTATTCAGTGCCATTGTGCAGTGAGGGTTCTTTATCGCACCAACGCCTACCGTGATCTTGGAATATAAATCAAGATTTCGCATATATTGCTTATTAATCAGATTATTATGATGCAAACGCTTCTTAAAAAGAATCTACATTAAAACACTCCTATAGTGAGGTGCCAGCGTTGAACAATTTTCATTCGTTAGAAACGTCATTTGCAGGGTTCTCCATGGGCCGTTTCACGTGGCCCCGCCACAGTTAAATTCACTAGCGCCACAGTTCCGCCACAGTTAAAATATTAGCGCCAAAGTATGATCTTCGTCGTCAGTAAGATAAATTCATAGATATATATAAATTTATTAATTAAATAAACTTAATTAAAACTCTTAATTATGTACCGTAAAGGCATGTTTCAGTTTCTAATGAAGATGATTCCAACTGAATTTTAGAATACCAATTAATCCATTGCTTTCATAGTTTTACAGATAACCACATGTAAGTTTCTAAAATTGCATTGGCACGACGAGTCAAAACATCGTACGTGTATCGATCGTAAATATTCATGAATTTTTGTAATGTTAAAAAAGAAGAAGGTACGGTTATAGCTTTATTGTGCCCTAAAAATTTGTTGTTTTCAAACGGTTTTGAAACTGGCTTAAATTTTAGTTGAATATATGACTGAGATAAATCAGGAAAGAATATGGCATGAAGGAGTACCATCCTTGGAATATGGAGTCATTAACTTGATGCACTTCTCTATATTCAAGAGAAAAAATCCTCAAATGACCCATTTCAAGGGTTATTTTCCTTTTAAAAAAAATAGTGTCCACAGCCGTCGCCCACTTTAATTTTCGGATATGTTGTGTAAAATTCTTTGAAAAATCACACATCTCAAAATCTTTGTGGGCGATGCCTGTGGACAATATTATCTGAAAGAAAAGTTCATTGAAAATTTGTGTCTTCTGCAACTTTTTAAGAAAATACGGGAAAATGTACAAGTTTATGACGTCACAATTAGTATTTAGAAGGTCATGTGAGAAAAATGATTTGTATGATCTTTCTGCATGGAATTTCAATGATTTAGAAAGCATGAGTTTTAATTTTTTACATCACTTTCGTTTTAAAGAAAAACACAGTGCAAGATATGTATTGAAACTGTACCTTGTTCTTAACAAATAAACTGTACCTTGTTCTTAACAAAGAATACATCCACCAAAATATACAAGTTTAAGATACTTCAGACTAATAATTGCAAATATATATACTTGATGTATATATATATATGACTGTTGACCTACCAGAATTTCGTCTGTCCTTTAATAAACTCGGCTGGTAAACAATATTATTTTTTAAATTAGGGTTAAAGGCTAGAAAGTTTTAATTACTGGTACTATTACATGTATTTTCAGATTCTGTAAGCTGATAATTGTTTATTTATAAATACCTATGCGTATGGAAAGTGGGTGGGTATTTTGCCACAGTAAACATATATTTCGGAAACATCCTAATTTTTGTTTTAGACCATGTTTTATTTATCAATTGTTTTTATTATTGAATTTATCAATCATATCTCCAATTAGTTAATACCATTAATTAATTTGTGTATTAAACTACTGATTCATAGAGGCACTGTGTTTGCAATTTGTTTCGTGGTTCCTTCGTAAATTCGGTCGCAAAATGACCGCAAATATTGGCGCATCGCGTAAGTCTTGCGCCACAGTTAAATCTGAAATGATAGAGAACCCTGATTTGTAATATTCGATACATTGATTGAATGTTTTGAAACTACATAGAATAAAAACCACTTTGCTAATACTTCGAATTCCTTTATAAAAATTATATTCGATGTACCCGGATTTTACTATAAATTTAAGCTTGTTAAGTCCGTTACCGATCAGAATAAGACTTTGTTACAATAAGGGGTAAAGGTTTAATATTGGATAATACAAAGTAAATATTTTTAATGAATCTTCACCAGAATAGCAGGGTTACGATTATTCATACTGATTTTTAAGTAATGGAGTTTAATTTTTGAAAACTCGTGAGGACATGAAAATTCCCCCATTTAGATATTTATAATGAGATATAGCTTACTCTATACCGGTGTCTAGGAAAGTTTCGCATTGGTTTGGTTTTTTTTTTTCTCTCCAAAATTGGGACAATGTGGTAGACATTTTTTTCTGCATCGATTATACAGCTGTATATACAGACGATAATGGAACAGCAAAACTGTACAATAAAAAATAATCAGATTTACAGTATTTACCATGTTTTATTACCTATATTCTGATCAATTTATTGTAAAATAAAACTATTGACAAATAAGTTGATTCGCAAATTCTATAGTTGATACAATGACCTTGTTAGCAAATATATCCTATCGTTAAGTTGAAAGTGTTGACTCAAGTTTTCCATACACGTTTTAGGGCATTATTTTCACACTGAAATGTATAAGATTTTTTTTTTCGTTCACGATTATGACAAAGAGCACATGGTGTATTGACCGGTTGACAAGGGATGCTTACTCCCCCATGTCATCCTACCTCTGATGTGTTTAAAGGTCTGTGTTGGCTCTGCTCCCAATTTAGATTGTTCCAGTGGACTTTTGAGGTTGATTACTATTCGTTATTTTCATATTTCATCTATAGAGCACCAGAAGTCATATTAATATTTTCTGCATATCTTTGATATTCCTTCACATTTCACATCTAGTAACCGATCTGCTCGAAGAAATTGGTCTTAATTGTTCTTCTTGAAATCCAATTTAGACTCCCAGTTTACCTTCTAAGGATGAAATTCTTCAAAATCACGTTTTAGTTCCTAATACTCTTAACATACCAGTCACAATTTACCCTATCTATTCTCTTCATGTAAGTCCTAACAAACAAAGATTTATGCAGTTTCCAGCAGATGATCGACCAAGCCCCTATTTTCACACCTTACAAAAATACTAACTGCTTTGAAGGAGGCACTTCAGCCGTATTATGCTACATGTTCAAGAGGTGGTAGTAAATCAATTTAATTTGGATTTTCAAAAATTCAACGAACTTTTCTTTCTTAGCAAACCTGTTTTTATTCCCATGAAGTAGAATTTATTTTGATAAACTTCTTCATGAAAAAAAAAGATATCTATGGCTTCAATTCCACATTTAGTCATTTAAATATATCGGTGAAGTTTGATCAGTTAACAAAAGTTACTTTCATTCATATGTCTACTCGATATATCGCAGTGAACTCGAAATAATAGACCCAGAGAGTGTCCCATATCTGTTTCATATTTGGATGTTTTACTGACTATAGAAGATAATGGTCAACTAGCTAACAACTAAACAAAAGAAATTTCAACTAGTACTTTTACACGTAATGTTAAGATAAAGAAAAAAAATCATGCCAAAAAGTCCTATAAAACAATACAATTGTAAACAGAGCAAACTCGGACTTTTGTAAACATTGGAGGTGGGGTCAGATTCCGTGGATGAGTAAGCATCTCCATGTATCTCTGTCACACTCGCCTAATGTCCTGTATCATGAGACGGAGAAATCCGTAGTCAATTCAGTATGAAAGCAATGACATAAAAAAATTTATGAAAGATCTAACGACAGGTTGTATTTTTAAAGAAGGTCATTGTATAGATACCATAGCGTGAAGCCTTGTACTTTATGTACCTTAAGAATTAAAAAAAAATAGATGCATATTTTATATCTAGAATACATTATTTATCTCATGACTAGTCATAAATTATTTCATTGAACTTTTATTTTTGAATAAAAATATGAGTGTACTTTATTTTTGACATTATGGAAATATCCTTATTTTTATCCATGCAAGTTCACGAGGAATTGATTTGCGTTCCTATTTGTTAAGAATCTTAAGGGAAAATTATTCATGTAAATATCCATGTTTGATCAAATCATGACCCCAAGATCTAAGCTGGGCTTTTTTCTCTTATATAGCAATATGTTGATGAAAAATCTTCAAACATCTTATAAAGAACAACAGGAACTTGGTTAGTCATATTAATTCATATC